AGAATACACGGTGCCTAAACCCAGAAGACAACTTTCTTCAAGATATAAAAATATTGTAACATGTTGCGCAACGAAGGCACGTGGCGGTAACATAGCGCTCGCGGATTAGGCGAGTAATTACCCCTCCACTCTCCCGCGGTGACGTCACGAGCGGAGCTGACGTTAGCCGAACCTCCGCAACGTGGTAGCTATGCAAAGGGACTCAAGAACGGTGACGTAACTGGATGACGTGGCACTGAATACGCAACAGGCAAGCACAGCGGCTATAGAAGTGAACTGGACAGCTGCTGCGCGTTAGTTGTAACGTGGCCATCGCCGAAGACAGTTCGGAGTTGGTTCCGAGCAAGCCTGCGAGTCGCGTTGACATATAGCAGCAGTCGCGATAAGAAGAACCGGACGTGTGTGTAATTGTAAGTGTGTGATATAGTGATACATAGCTCCCCTACTGTAAACGTGCAGACTACTGAAGACAGAGTGAGCTGAATTGCGGTTAGGGTTATAAAGTGTGAAACCCCGCAACTGTTATGATTAATTGTAGCCGATATTTGTAGATTGTTCAATAAAGCAATTAACGATCTCCACGGCGTATTCCGTAACGAAACACGTTACAATATATTTAGTTGTATCCGCGTTCACTTCCAGACGAATTACTACCAAGAAAAAATGAATATTTATAAGGAAAGTTATTTTCTTGCAGCGAAACACTTCCAGTAACATAGTATGCGTCACTGATCGTAGAGAGAGAATTAGTGTTTTTGCCTTTCACTTCGAATGAAGCAAAAAAATAAAGTAGAAGTAATTAATTCTGTTATGTTTTCATGATTGCAAGTGATAACTTTATAACTAGTGACGTTTTTAGATATATTGTACGGGGTAAAACATTTTCTCTTAGACATGCAGCTGGGGTTATCAGTGGGACCTGGTCCTCTGGCTTAGCTTTTGGGTGCAAGGCTGATGACCTTGCACTGTAATAATTATTGTTGCGAAATTGATGATGTGAATCTGCGTGCACTAATAGACGAGACAAATCTGGCAGAATGTAAGGAAGTGTGGCCTAGATACCATAATGAGAAGAAAACAGAAACTGTAATAGATGCTAGTAAGGAGGTTTGTGTTAAAGGAAGTATATGTTTATGTCTCATCAGCAGAATGTAGGGCAAAATCATGGGATAATGGTAGCCAAGGGATGTTTTGGAAAAGTGGCAGAATTCAGATGTTTGACGAGTGCGGTAAACGAATTGACAGCAGTTTTAGCCACTAGTGTCGCTGTTGGTCGAGTGTGGAGTGGGGGTGTGGATGTTTGAAACCGCGACACTTGCGGAGAGATTTTGAAGCTAATTTGTTTATGCACTGGCATCCATTTTGTAAGTTTTTTTGCGTTTGGTGGTCTAGGCCGAAGGTTCGTGAGGATTTTGTTGAAATGTAAGTAGAAATAAGAAGTGTTTTGCAGATTGTTTTTCCCCTAGTGTGGAGATTATCGGAGAATGTTTAATATTGTTTTGTGAATGAACGGTTTGCTAGGTGTATCGACATTGCGTTTGTAACGAAATCGTGAGTTGCAAATGCCGGCTGCCAAATTATGGTTTTATAAAAACATATTCCCCACGGGCAATGTAATTCCAGCTTTCGAATTAACTGGACCAGTATGAGTTCATTATTATTATTATTTGTATTGTATGCTGCTCTATTTGAAACTCAAATTCTCACATTGTTGTTTCGTCTGTGTGTGTTTGGTTCTGAATTTTATTCATGCTAACTGTGTAATTAATATAGAGTACAATGTTTGCATTTTATTTTGTAATTATTTTTGTGTATTTCTTCTATTCGTGCTAGCTTTGTAATTGGCCTCTGTGCTGTTAAGTTTGCACGTAAATAAACATGAATTGAATTTCTTTAAGCAGCCATAAGAGTTTTTAAGAGAAGCATAACAGATCTTGCTTCACATCACAATAAAGATTAATATATATTGGGAAATGTAAACTGATTTGCAGATCAGGAGTAGTGAGTTAAGTAAGAGAGAGGCAATAATATAAAGTAGGCTAGAAGTAGCGCTATTAATCCAGTTATTATTTCTTTCTCCCAAGTTAGGTTCCAATAATTGTGGAAACTAGAAATAGGGCTTATTTCTTGAAACCAATAGCCAGGCATCATGATCATGTATCACCAGTTTAATGTAAATGAGTTATGACCTGCAACTATCCAAGGAATATATTATCACTGGCGTGGTATGGACGTATGGACTGTATTCATGTGGCTGAGGACAGGCTTGTGTGAAATTGTCAGTGAAATTTTTGGTTCCATAAAATGTTTGGAAATTCTGTAATAGTGGAGTGATTGTTAGCTTCTGAAGAAGGGCTCGTTTCCATGGCATTTGTAAGCCTTGGTCTGTGGAAGGCTTATTGTGGAATAACAGACTTAAGTGAGAATTTCACATATCTGCATCTGCTTCCCTTAGTCTCTGTGCCCGTCTGCATGCCTATTCTTCAGTATGTATTAACCAGCTTTTTTATTCTTCCTTCTTGTGTTCCTGCCTGACTCAGCCCACCTTCTAACTGGGAGTGTTTTTAACGAGAATGCATGGGGCTTCCATTGGCATGAGGAAGAAGGAAAGACACAGTATTGACTTAACATGAGTTTTTTCAGTTAATGACATGACATGTAAGAAAAAGTGATCATATTGACTCAAGTTACAATGAGAATTGAGACACTGTATGGTTGTTTGAAATACACTTAACTTAAACTGTTCTCTGTTATAATTAAGATAATTAAGTATTTGTAATTATGATGTCCCAGTGGAGCTTCATCATATATTTCGAGGAAGTGAGAGACTGATTTTTTCTTCAGGTAAAATTTTGGAGAATTAGAAAATCTCCAAGGAGTTTACTGCTGTGGGCCCTTTGCGACACAATTTTATCAACTGAGTTGCAATGAAACAGATCTGGCAATGAACATGCAAAAGCTTCAGTGATGTCTCGTGTTGTAGAGATTTGAGAGGAATGGAGCTAGTACTGGTGAAGTTGCATAGCACAAGTATGTCTTAATGACAGTGGACATGGGACCGCCACTCCATACCATGAATCGTGAGGTATGTTGTACAGCAGGACAGTACTTTATACGATTTATATTGGTTGTTCTCTGCTTTTAGACTTATTTCTCAGCTATTAAATTTTGGGTTTTTGATGCATGTGGTTGTCGTGAAGTTGCGTTGTTTCTTCAAATGATACATGCCCGTCTGTTTCAGCCTGCGTCTTGCTTCCTCTTTGATCCTGCCTGATTGCCTTCCTACTTTGCCATCCATACAGGTGGCATTATTCTTGCATTGTAAGCATGGGGCTTCCATTGGTGAAAGAAAGTAAAAATGTCTTCCCTCGCATGGAAACCGGAATTGTGGGTTGGAATCCCACTGATGGTATAGAAGTTTAGTTTGTGTGTGTACATTTATCTGTGTTTGTATACAGGTAGAGGCCTTTCGACGAGCTGATCACCCGCCCAAGGAGTCCTGCCGAATGTGTAAGATCTAGGAAAATCGAAGTGAACGGAGAAGGTAATGGGGGTAGGCCTAGGCCCTTTGCGGCTGTAGTGGGAACGAAAAAGATGATGTAAGATAAGGAAATGTGATGTAGTAGGTTTCATTTGTAACTGAATTTGATGACTTTCATGTAATGTTTGACTTGCATATTTGATTAACAGTGTTCTTTCTCTCTCTGTCAATTCAGGTAATCGGTATTTGTCATTCTTAAGTTTTTGTTGATCTTCAAGATATATTTCTGTGAAGCAAGTGAATTTCTTGTCCTACAGGCCATATTCTGGAGACTAAGATATCGTGGGAAGTTGCTGATGATGGTAGCCCTGTGTCACCAGCAATAGAAATGAGCGGCATTGTGACAAGTCAGACTGAATGAGGAGGGAAACAGCAATGGAATGTGGTGAAGGGTGTTGTTGAGAATTGTTCAGCTACTGGGTATGTTACAGAGACATAATGGGTCCTGGTTTTGTTGGAAATGATACCACCATTTGCAAGGTGACGTACATCAGGAATCCCTTGTGCGTGAGTTATGTTAGTAGTTGTGTGCACGTGTTACTTGTTGAATTTTTGTTAACATATCTTAGTTATGTCAACGGTATCTTTCTTCAAGCGAGTGTCGCCTGATGAGTCTCAGATATCTGCATGTGCTTGCCTTAGTCTCGATGGCTGTCTGCATGCTTATTTTTCAGTATATATTAACCTGCTTTTTTATTATTCTTGTTTCCTGCCTGTCTCAGCCCACGTTCTAGTTTGTATTGTTCTTAACTAGAATGCATGCATCTTCCATTGGCATGAGGAAGAAAGAGACAGTATTGACATAACATGAATTCTTTCAGTTATGATGTGACGTATAAGAAAATGTGATCATATTTTCTGAATTATTTGTATTACATATTTAATTTTAACTGTTCTCTGTTATAATAAAGATAATGAAGTATTTGTAATTATGATGTCCTAGTGGAGTTTCATCTTATATTTGTAGGAAGTGAGATGTTGATTTTTTTTTTTGTTCAGGTAAAATTTTGGAGAATTAGAAAACCTCCAAGGAGTTTGCTGCTGAGGATACTTTTCGACACCATTTATGTACTGAGTTGCAATGAAACAGATCTGACAATGAAGATGCAAAAGCTTCAGTGATGTGTCGTGTTGAAGAGAGTTGAGAGGAATGGATGTAGTACTAGTGAAGTTGCATAGAAAAAGTGTGTCTTATTGACAGTGGAAATGGGTCGGCGACTCCATGCCATGAATTGCGAGGTATGTTGTACAGCAGGAGAGTACTTTATAGGATTTATATTGGTTGTTCTCTGCTTTTAGACTCATTTTTCCGCTATTAAATTTTGGGTTTTTGAAGCATGTGGTTTTTGTGAAGATGGGTTGTTTCTTCAATTGATACATGCCTGTCTCTTTCAGCCTGCGTGAGCTTCCTATTTGATCCTGCCTGATTGCCTTCCTACTTTGCCATCCATACAGGTGGCATTATTCTTGCATTGTAAGCATGGGGCTTCCATTGGTCAAAGAAAGTAAAAATGTTCACTATTCCCTTAGCATGAAATTTTTCACTTAGTAATGTAAGATAAGGACCGGCCATGGTAGCAAAGCGGTGTAAGGCATGAACTGTCTTCCCTCGTATGGAAACCGGAATTGTGGGTTGGAATCCCACTGATGGTATAGAAGTTTAGTTTGTGTTTGTGTACAGGTAGAGGCCTTTCTACAAGCTGATCACCCGCCCAAGGAATCCTGCCGAATGTGTAAGATCTAGGAAAATGGAAGTGAACGGAGAACGTAATGGGGGTAGGCCTAGGCCCTCTGCGGCTGTAGTGGGAACGAAAAAGATGATGTAAGATAAGGAAATGTGATGTAGTTGGTTTCATTTGTAACTGAATTTGATGACTTTCATATAGTGTCTGACTTGCATATTTGATTAACTGTGTTCTTTCTCTCTCTGTCAAGTCAGGTAATCGGTATTTGTCATTTTTAAGTTTTTGTTGATCTTCAAGATATATTTCTGTGAAGCAAGTGAATTTCTTCTCTTACAGGCCATATTCTGGAGACTAAGATATCGTGGGAAGTTGCTGATGAAGGTAGCCCTGTGTCACCAGCAATAAAAATGAGCGGCAATGTGACAAGTCAGACTGAATGAGGAGGGAAACAGGAATGGAATGTGGTGAAGAGTTTTGTTGAGATTTGTTCAGCTACTGGGTATGTTAGAGAGACATAATGGGTCCTGGTTTTGGTGGAAATGATACCACCATTTACAAGGTGACGTACATCAGGAATCACTTGTGCGTGAATTATGTTAGTAGTTGTGTGCATGTGTTACTTGTTGAATTTTTGTTAACATATCTCTGTTATGTCAACAGTATCTTTCTTCAAGCGAGAGTCGCCTGATGAGTCGCAGATATCTGCATGTGCTTGCCTTAGTCTCGATGGCTGTCTGCATGCTTATTGTTCAGT